GAACCAACAGCAAGTTATAACATTGTAAGCATGTCTCCAGCAAGGAGCCATCTTGGGGTCGACATATTACCGTAATGACCATACACAAGATGCACTGGATTTTAAGGCGCTCGGTGAGATTTTAAGAAAATGGAAGACTTTTTGGTGCGCCCTATAGTGCGGAAAATACGGTATATTTTAACCATATTTTCACAACCATACAAATCCATCAAACTTATAATTCCTTGAAAATGATTCTAAGCAGAAATAGTGTTTTTGCAGTCACTGTAAATACTGTATTAAAAGGCATAGTGTCAGTTACGGGTGCTATTTCTGTATTTAATACATACACAAGACACATTGTATTATTGGACGCAGGCATGGTCAAACGTACGCTAGCTTAAAAAGTACAGTAGCATGCGTGCACGCTAAAACATTTTTTAAAAAAGGCAGCGAGAGCAAAACTTAGTTTGGTTGAACTTTGTCAAAGTATTGAACAATTTACTCCCATGATTTTTTTTAATCAATCCTCGTCCTCAAATCCATCAACGTTCTAATCTTCTGTATCCGGAATGAACCGCTAGGTAAGTTCACAATCGAACACGCCATGTACGACATTGTCAGAGTCAGTCATGTTGCCATGCGCCTCCTCAGAAAACTCGAAGAACACTGCGAGGAGATATAGCCTAAGGCCAAACAAAAAAGATAGTGTGTTTCAGGTAACATGAAATTTCACCATAGGGTTGGTGTGGCTAGAAAATGTTTTTTTTTTTTTTTAATCTTTTTTTTTTCCCCATCAAAAATTTAAACAAAATAACCATAAAACAAGGAGACATTGAACTCACCGCCGAAGGTGGCGAGAGAGTTGGGTACCCGGCGGCTGCGTGTTAAGTTCCGAGGTTGGCCGGGTCGCGATGGCACCAGCGGGGAGAGTTCCCCGACGCCGGCCGCGTCCCGGCCTGGACTAGAGTTGCGTAGACTAGGCGGACGGCGCGTCGACGAGCGCGCGGACGCACGGGTCGGTGGGGTGGGCTGTCGGGGAACACCGACGGGCGCCTGACTGGGGGTGGGTGTGACAGGCGGGTCCCGCCGCTCCATGGCCGGCGCCGCCGCCACCTATTTAGTTTTCTCCCCGCTCCGGACTCGGGGGGGCCAGGGCGCGCCGCCGCCTCCGCTGTCTTCCTGCGCCTTCGGTTTTTACTCGGCCCGTGGTGTTCATCAAATAGTTCGCTGAATTTTTTCGATACATCAATGGATGCTATTTTCTTAACTTTACGGTGCGAGCATGCGATTGTAACACAGAAAACGCGGTTTAAACTGTCGTCGGAGATCGCGGCCCCCGCCATGATTCAATGTTGTTGACAGATGACAGGGCAAACGACGCACGCGCTCAACGTGAATATCGCGAGAGTTTGCACCGATATAAACCCTCTATACAAAAATGTAGAGGGTTGTTTGAAAAAAATGCCGACCGTAAAGTTTTTTTTCGACGTAGAAATTCTCGGTCAGTTGGGTTACCGGAAACATACTACTTTTTTTTCTCCGCCTAAGCGTCCAGAATCCATTCCCCATTGCGTTCGCCATCGCTCCCACACCACTCGCAATGTCACTCTGGCCGTTTCTGTCCGTTACCACGGCAACCAAGTTCAGCAGTAAAAGTCGATTACACGCGCCTCCGCATCGCTATAGAGCCGGTCCGCTTCTTCTCCACAGTGTCATTCACCGGATGTCTACAGTGAGTGGCGCCTCATCCATTTTGATGATGTGGTTGGGCTGGATGTGTTTGTCGACAATCTTTTTGTTGCATTTCAAAATGCAAAGTAACCTGATAAACATGATAAACTGTCCACTGTAGTCACTGCTGTCCCTAAAAGGGTTAAAAGTAATCTCAGTTTAGAAAAAAATGACTCACTGACTTTAAACTGCGTTTCAACCAATTTTATAGGATCGCTGTGGATATCAAAATTTAAATTAAGCATTAATTGTACAATTAAATAAATTGTCTACTCCACAACACTACTCCCAAGACCCATGTGTCAATGGCTGCTTTTTACATTAAACGTTACAGCCCATATCTCACAAAGCAGCAAAGGTATGGAAAAGGGTCTGGCGGTGGCTGCAGGGAGAAGCGGCTTACAATGCTGGCCAGACTCTCCTCAGGGTTCAGTAGGTCAGAAAGTAGCAAAACATGGAACTGTACTTCGTTGCTGACCATTTTTTTGTCGTCTTCCGACCCCGCCACATTAGTCGGAAGTGGGTTTAAAATGTTAGCGATTATCAGGTATCGGTTTGGAAAAGCAGGAAGCTACTGGTATCGGGGGTGGGGCGGGGGAGGTTATCGTGCATTCCTATAAAATACAGAAGGACACCTCATTCCTAACATTATAGTTCGTACTCACTCATGTCATGTTATCGAACATAAATAAACATACCGTATTGGCCCGAATATAAGACGGTGTTTTTTGCATTGAAATAAGACTGAAAAAGTGGGGGTTGTCTTATATTCGGGGTCTCGACATTATACCCATTCACGACGCTAGATGGCGCCATATATCATTGAAGCGAATGCTGAACTTGACTCCCCAGGCCAAAGTGAACCCCTGTCACGAAGAATAAAAATAAAAATAGCGGTAGCACGAAGAAGAACAAAGAATAAAAATAAAAATAGGGGTAGCACGAAGAAGAAAAATAAAAAATAGGGTTAAGAAAGAAAAGAGAAGAAAATAATAGAAGAGAAAACAGAAAATGGAGAAACGTAGCGACAATCTGGAGGAAAGTGGGTCGAAGATCGGCCAGGTTAACCGGCATCTGAGGAGAAGTTATGATGTAATTCAGTGTTTTTCAAACTTGTTTGAGCCAAGGCACACTTCTTTCATTTGAAAAATCTCGCGGCACACCACTAGCTGAAAATGTGAAGAAAAAAAAAACATTTATTTGAATAATTAATGTGTTGATACTATAACCGTTTTTAGCATTGAAGAATGACATTACAACAGCTTGAATTGGAATCAAATGAACACAAAGAAAAAAGTATTTTCTCATCTTTCATATTTATTGTTTCACCGTCGTCCTACATTCATGCGTCACAAATTCGCTTGTCTCTTGTCGAAACACAAGGTAATTGGCTAGCTGTTGCTGCTCCCTAGCGGTATAGGAGGGTACTACATGATTACTTTCTGGGCGAAAGACCGCACAGGCATACAAATTGGATATTTTCCCACGGTACACCTGACAATGTCTCACGGCACACGGGTTGAAAAACACTGATGTAATTTACATTTCAAAAACCAGAAGCCTTTCATTTACGAATGTGATTGCACTTTAGTTTACATATTTAAATGTTCAGATATTAAGATTTGAATGAGGCAAAATAACATGCTTTTTCTCTCAAATATATTGTTAGAATCATTTGTTTCAGA